CTCCTCGCGCTGCTTGCGCTGCAAAGCATCGGTAGCGGCTTCCTTCTTCTTGTCGATAAGAACGCGACGGGCGAGGGTCTCCTCGTGCTCCTGGGCGGCACCAGCGATGGCGCGGGCCTGGGCGGTCTGCTTGGCCTGAAGACGGGCCTGGTTGTAGGAGGGGTCGACGTACATGCAGGTGACGTGAAGAGTCTTGGCGAGACGAGCGACCTGGAAACGGGCGATCTCGGCGGGAGTGTGCTGCAGGCGCTGGACAGAGCCAACCTCACTCTCGGCGGAACCAGCACCGCTGCCGGCGTGGGTAGCCTTGGAAGAAGAGAAGACATCGGAGTCGAAAGTCAGGACACCCGAGATGTGATCAACGCGAATAGCGAGATCACCCTTCTTGCAACCGTTCATGATGAACTTCTCAATCATGGCAGGGGTGATCTGGAAGGGAGCAGGGAACTGGGCAAGCTCGTAGACGAACTTGAGCTCAACAGACTCGTAAACCTGGGACAGCTGCTGGAACAGACGGGTGAGAATGACCTGCTGCAAAGGCACAACGTACTTCTCCATCTCGGGGTCCGCACCAATCTGCTTCAGGATGGGGGTGATCTTCTTGCAAATGGACAGAGGGTGGAAATCAACCTCCAGGATGTTGTACAGCTCGCGGATCTCGGGGCGCACACGACGGAGCAGACCCTTGTTAAGAGCATCGCGGAAGAGCACCGTACGTGTGGGCGAGGTAGCCATACCGAGAAGGTTAGTGAGACGGGTGTTCTTATTCTTGCGAGCCTCATCCACATCGACCAGGGCGCCGCGGGAGCGGGAAGTGCTGATAACGGGAATAGACAGAGCGGAGAGAAGGACAAAGGACGCGGCCTTGGTCATCTCGGCTTCGGTGACCGATGGGTTCTCCTTCTTAGAGCTCTGGCCGCTGGCCAGGGCCACGGAAGAAAGACGGAGAAGGTTGTAGTAGCGGTTGTAAGCGGCGGCGTGGAAGAGGTAGTTCTCGCTAACCAGGAAAATACGGGCGAGCTTCTCGTAGTAGTTGGCCATCATGATGTTCTTAGCGGGGCGCTTGCTGAGGTTCAACAGAGTGTGGATATCCTCAATGCTGCGGAAAGCCTCCTGCCACAACTCCAACTCGACGGCGACGTTCAACTGCTGGAAGCGGGTGTCAAGGTGACGCTGCAGGGTGTCGGCATCGCTCAGGTTGATGGCATGCATCTGGGAAGAGTACTTGGCGGCATTCTGGACGTGGTTGCGCAGGAGCTCACACAGGCGACGGAACTCGGTCTTGCGGGCGTACTTCTGGCAGAACTTGAAGGCCTGTAGGGCAGTCGACTGGTACATGATCTCGAGACGGGCATTGTTCTTCAGAATCTCGAGGACTGTGCGGTAGGTCTCCCACAGGAACTTGAGCCAAGGGGTGACGACGGCGCGGTCGGTACGATCGCGAGACTGCTCACCGGAGACAGTGGCGAGGAGAATGGTCTCGGGGGTCTCGATGGCCTCCAAATCCTCAACGTTGGAGGAAGGAGCGGCGGACTCGAGGGTAGACTGGATCTCGTCGGCCTTGGCCTGGGCCTCGGTGACCTTCTGCTCGGCGAGCTCGATGAACTTCTTGAGAACAATCTGTGGATAGGAAAAAAAAGTCCTATGTTAGTGCCAAGTCACAATTTTTTTTTTTTCAAAGGCAATCATCAACACGAACCTCGATGGTGCCGACATTGGTGTTCTGGGCGATGTTCTTGTACTGGTAAAGACCATCCTTGGCAGCCTTGCCCTTGCGAAGATCAACAGCCAGCTCAACGAACAGGAGCATCACCGGCTCAAGGGAAGCGATGGGGCTGCTACGGGTGCGCTTGGAGGTGACATGTTCGTGGAGGACAGTCAAGGCGGCGGGAGCCTGGCCGACGGCGATGAGTTCCTGGGCCCTCTGTGCAAGATATCGTCATTAGTAGCCGATCTAATAGTTCGCGACAGCGACAGCGACGCTTACCTTGAGGACGTTCTCAGGCTTGATATGCGGAGGAGGCGGCATGATGGGTGGATGCCCCTTGGGAAAGGATCAAAGGTGACTGATAAGAAATTAAAAGTTGGAAGAAAAAAAAGTTCCAACGTTATATGAAGCCAGCGACACGGGTAGCTGGGTTGAATGCGATTAGCCACGCGAATACCCGATAACGAGGGGAAGATTCACAATGTGCGTGTTGAGGCCAGAGCAAAAATTGGATCCCGCCAATGTTCCCACTTCGCGTTAAGCGATGGTGATCACGTGTTCCGGCCTAAGGCAGAATATTTGTTATTTGTTAGAGTCTACAAAGATGTGTCATATTGGATGACTTTGCATTGTGATGATGATTTATTATTGGTCTAATTAAAATATCCCGAGTCGACTAATATTATAATTCCAACTAATTTCATTCCGACGCCGATGTTTCTAGTAGTTAATAATCTAGTAGGTATCGGGTACAAGGTATGTATTAGTCTCCACATAAAACAATAGCAGTACTAATCCTCCAATGCCAAGTACCCGGTACTTCCACTCCAGTATAACATATACCAACGAGAGGTAAAAAAAAATAGGGAAACCCACGGACCTCAACTCTTCTCAGGAAATCCCCTCTAATCAGCCCTTTGTCCATTCTCTCTCTAATTAACACTCGACTTCACCTTCTTTTTTTTTTTTTTCTTTGTCTTGGCTGATTACCCGGCCCCCCTAACCTAATTCTTACTCCCTTGGGAACCTGCCGATCCAAAACCCCCTCTCCCCCCTTTCTCCATTCGCGCTTCTCTCACAGCTCAACCCGTCACGATGGCTCCCTACGAACTTCGATCAGGAGGTGATGTTAAGAATAAGAAGCAAAGTGTCGCCGACTTGAAATATCGTCGTTTGACAGAGCTCAATGCTCGTCTGAAGGAGGATCTGGACCGACCACGGGTCAAGGTCTCCGAGGCAGCTCTCTCGTCCGTTCAACCTTTCTTTGTTAACAACAAACACCTAACCCTTTAATAGTCTCATCAGTTACTGCAACAACACTCGCGATTATATGGTTCCATCCGTATGGGGACAGGTATGCGACCGGCTGTTTTTGTCCACGCGCGCGACCCATCCCAAACTAACTCCCCATTTCTTAGGTCGACAAGCGCGAGGATCCCTATGCTCCTCAGCAACAGGGAGGTTGCTGCACCGTCATGTAATGCAACCACGACGGGATATTTTCGCCATGACGTCTCGCTCTTTCTCTCTTTCTTCTACTTAATTCCCGACCCCATTCACGACCACCCCCTTGGACCCGAACAAAACACGATTGCTCGCGCGGATAAACATGTCGGCCTGAAAGAATCGTCTGCTGGTCTTGCACGAAACCTTCCACGCCTCTGAGGATCATACGAGTCCCGCTGTGTTTTGTCGCCCTTTTCGACCCCGTGTCCCCCCTTTTTTGTCCTCGGACTCTGCAGACAGTGCACTTGACGATGCATTTGTTGCGCCTTACTTTATTTTTCTCTGGATTGCACCATTCCCCCTTCTCGATGTGTTTGTTAGGAATCGGCCTTTTCTTTTCGTCTCCTTTGTTTTCCCCTTCTTTCTCCTATGTATCCTTTCACGGATTATCTTCAAAAAAGCCTCTATGTTCTTCAGAGCGTGAGAGCCATTCATGTATCATAGATTCGCATGACCAATACCATACTGATCTAATCGAATTTGCGCTATTTGTAATCCGGCCCCAAATCCCGGCAATCACGTCTTGCGATTTGCTAGGATGACCCGGTAGTCGGAATCAGCCCTCGACCGGTTGTTTCGTCTTGCATGACTTACCTGTATTGGCAATTGGTAGATCCTAACCGAATGTTACGGTATACAGCGACTTGATTACTCTATCTAATATGACATAAGATGTAATCATAGGTCCATAGGTACTTGCTCAGGTGTATGGGCAGTCAGCCCATCCCCGCTGACATCATCTTCCTGTGGACCTACCTGAGCATCTCATTAAGCTCTGCACATTTGCCCAGGTGAACAATACGACTCACCTCAACGATCCAGAAATAAACACGGAGTACATCCACCTGCATATGTACCGGATAATGCCTGGCACTCGAGACTTTTCCCTTTCCGTTTTAGTGCTCACCTCTTGTCGCTTTTAGATCTCAGAGTAAAATTGAGCACGCATCTGAACACTCTAAGCTGCTCAAAGATCATTAGATAAGCTGACTAAGCGTTGAGGTGATTGCACTCTCCGCTGAAAAAGGGACTCCGATGCTATTATGGTCCCGGACTTATAGCTAGCTTTGAGGATAGACATAATAGGATCATCCTTACCATAGCATAGCATTGTACCAGATGTAAAAGCTTCAATTCGTGCGAGGGGGTATACTTCGAGGAAATCAAGTTTGATAATATGAATCATCCTAACCCGCATTTTTTTATTTAACTAGCCGGCCGTACGCACGTTTTAAGACCGTAAAACAGCCAATATCGACAGGTTGTAAAAGATAAGATAAATACACCGGTATACAAATTGGTATTACCTTATTTCTCTTATAGATTTCGTCAACTTTAGGTGTTAAATGACATCCGTGGTCGTCGAGTATTAAAAGCCGATACCACTTCGTACGTGAAGTAGGAATAAAGAGCTTGTCAAGCTACCGAAGTCCAATTTCATCGGAGATCTATCTATTAGGACTAACTTCGAAATATTAATCCTCCAGGAGGTCGTCGAACCAAGATTCAATAAAGACATTACCTTTAAAAAATCATATACGGAGGAAGCGCCTACCTAGAAGATTTCGTACACTCGATCACTATCACCCACTTAAGTATCTTCATTTTTCTACCAGTCTTGATTCAGACATCCAATAAATAAGTAGGCACCAAGATATCAATAATAAATTTGTTCTATGGCATCTATACCGCTGCGGGGATAGAGATAAATGGGGCAGAGCAAGCAGGACAGAACAATAAGAACAGGAAGTTAGCGTATAGATAACACGTAGTACACATGCGAGGTTTAACCCGTGGGAATCTCCTTCAGCACTCCATCGATATCAATATAGCTTCCTAGAATTAGCTCTCCCCAGTACCTTTTGTCGATCGGGTCTCCTTTGGCCAGAAAGATAGACCGTGGAATAGACCGATATTGCAATGCGTCAATACAGCCCCTTTGTCCTAGCAGGATGCCTGGCCGTAAATTTAGTATTATGCCTAGTTCCACAACCACTACGATAATGTCCATGTGAAACAACGAGTTGGAAAATTCGACTTTGAATGAAACTTGGACGAGAGTCCCAAGTCCATATGATTTGTTGATTGGATCAGATAGGTGTACTCGAAATTCTTCATCGAGGAGATCTCTTGTGATAATTGAGTTATGGGCGCCTGTGTCCCAGAGCATTTCAACTGCCGACAGCTTACATTCTGAAAGACCCGGTTCCCACTCCAAAGAAGTAACCATTGCATTACCGACGATGGCGGTCAAGGTGTTCTCTGTACGTAACGCAGGGAGATTGAGGATATAAGGTTCTCGTGGTGAGGGGGTATTATACTTCTTCTTCAGTAACGCACGGCGATTTGGAGAAGCGGGTGGCGGAAAGTCTTCTGGATTTAGTTGACCCGCTGTCCGAATGGGTCGGATAGATGAAAAAGGAGTGGGGTCCTTTAACGAATCTTGACTTTCGAGTGCCATCTTCTTTAGGAGTGCTCGACGGACTGGGTTTGTGGTTGGCAGCAGTATGCGGCCTGGAAGCCCGCGCACGCAGTTGAGAGTTGCAGTGAGGGCTTCCTCATAGGCAACATGGCTGGTGGAAAGAGCCACGCGAAGGTGACTATGGTGGTCCTCGAGGTTTTCAGCAACTCGGCCCAGGACCATGCCAGGGGGGAATTTCTCAGGCAGCTCCATGTTGAAATTCAACTGTCAAAAGGTCAAGCTGGGAAACAAAGTAGCAACTGAGGCTTTGGTTGAGAGATGCCGGCGTCCGAAACTAGTTTTGGCAAGCTTTGTATAAGTAAGGTTCCGGGTAATGAGTCATTCTTAACCTGATCGGTGCCGGCTGATAGTTGTCAGACCGGAATCTGACCCACGCCTCCCGTGGCAGACTCCTATAGATTATACTGATGCGAACACTAGGGGTAATTTGAGCTATAGAAGGCGTCAAGTCCTCCGGATTAGACTTCGGCAGAACCCACTCTAACCCGAGCCCAACCCAACATGGGGCTTGGGTCCAATTCTAGTTAGTTATAACCCATTGGGTAACCTAGTTATTAGGGCCCTAATATAGTGCAAACCAGCCAAATAGACTTCTAGCGTGACTGCAAAATTTATACGTTTTTTACTTATAACATTGAGTATTCTACTTATAGCGCTCTTTGTGAAGGGACGTAGCCAGGTTTAATTCAAGCTAGCTAAGCCGTTTGCTGTTATCTAAAAGCTTAAGGAGAAAAGAAGGAGTTTACAGGGCCGAACGTAAACAAACGGGGTGGGGACTTCCATCGTGCGGGCCTATAGTAATGTTTAGTGGAGAGAGCTTAATTTAGGAGTTAATGTTATCTGTAAACGGCGGACCTGTGAATTACTATATCCGGTTAGTTTTGCCTCTTTAAGTTTAGAGTCCTAATACGCCATCACGTAACCTCCCTTTAATGCCGCCGACATAAATCACCTGTCTTCGCTGCTCACCCTCCCCCTCTCTCACTTTTTCGTTCTTTCTACCTCTCTATCTTGCACTCATCGCCGCCCCCTTTCTTTTACTCTGGCCCCCACTGACTACTACACATTCGCTTTCAGCCCGACGCACTGCCCCCTTTCATTTTACCAGAGATGCCGCTCCATCCGACGCCCAGCTCGTTATGGCCGGCATGGGCTGCCATACCAGTCGCCCAGGAGCAGAACCCCTGGGATGATCCAACCCGCAGCCGCATCGTTCGGTTTCGTGTCGATACTCCCTCCTACAGTAGAATTCGAAAACAGCTTACCCCCGAGCGTACATACTCTGTTTCCCGGCTCGTACCCGAAACGTGGCCAATCTAAGTTTGGACTAGCTGTAAACAACACTAGCCTATGAGTGGATGATATCTTACCACTTATCCAAATAAAGACTATACCCGTTTCGGGTACGAGCCGAGAAACAAAGAGTTATGTATATTTCTTGGTGCTATTGAGGGCATCCAGTTAACAGGATTGAACGGATCGAATTGCATCTAGGTTTACTGCCAGATACGTGAAGATCTTGTCGTTAGGGTTGTGCGGAATTAGAATGGTGGTGACAGCGGCGGTTGGGTGTCCGAATGAATCGGTGGTCCGGTATAAGATTTGGTATGCGGCCGAAACAAACTCTGTTAACAGTTGTGTGAAGGATATGGAGCCTTCCTAATGGCTAGGGTGCTTCCAGGTGGTGATTCTGCTTCGGTTTGTGTTGGGGGGGCGATGAAATGGATCTTGCCTGGGGGGCAAGAGTGATTCGCAATGAACCCCAACAACCATCAGGCAGGAGATTAGCAGAAACTTGAGATTTTCCATCGCCATCGGGAGATTTGGCTCTGGTGGATTTTACAGCCTGGACTTTGTAGGTTTACCATATCTATTTATTCCCGTCAGAAGGAGGGTGACCAGCCATGCCGATAACTAGGTGTCATATGCATATTTGCCGTGGTGATCAGTTGCTGCAAGGGGAACAGCGATTAGCCAGCAATTTGAGACCGACGATCTCTGAGGCTTAACTTATGGTCTATTCTGGCTGATCAAAGTTAAACTACCAGTTGAAACCAACACAGGTCTACTAGAGGTAGATAAATATGAAATCTCTACATTCTGGAACTATATTAAGAAGTTAAGATATGCTCGGAAACTCACCAACAGTTCTCTTGGCCAAGGCCAGCCCCTCTTTTGCTGGCTTTTTCTCTTTCTTATATTCCCCCCAGCTGCTCAAGGAATACAATTATTATGCTGGGACACACGACTCTCTACTCCAGAACCCCTCGCTCTTTCCTCTTCGCCGTCGTCGCCAATGTCGGTCCCGGCGGCGCCAGCCGCTCCCTGGCCGTGGCCTACCGCCAGCACCACGATAAATACAACTCACAGATATCCTGGGGACGAGTGCACTGTATGGTGACCGACATCCTTGCGCTGACCGAAATCCTCTCGGATCCCGCGAACCGCGCGCCGCTGGAGGCTGAGAGGGCGCTCGCGGAGGACTGGTATCGTCGGTCTCAGGGCCACGAGGCTCCGATTCATGAGCGGCCCAGCGTGCCCGACACCGCGCAGCCCCCGTTCGTGCCCTGGTATAAGCGGCGGGAGCCAGAGTAACAACAACCCCCGCTGCCGTGGCGGGTTGATGCGCCCAGTAAGTTTCCCTTCACCGCGACGTGTGTTTTGCTGGCGTTATTACGCGATACTTGCGATAACCGCACCCGCCCCGGCGACGTCCAGTTTCAGCCTCTATCGACGCTATTCCGGGCCGATTACACTGAGTATGGCCTGGTCATTCTCGACATCTCCGACCTCGACAGCGGCGTTAAGTACGGCATCGTTACGTTCCCCATGAACTACATGGCTGAGGTTGAATACCGCGGCGAGATAATCGGCTGGGATCCCGTCGAAGACCCCTAGCCGGAAAAGGAGCCCGATGTTATACTCGTGAGCCCGCGGCCTCGAGAGCTGTTATCAATCTCGCAGTGGGTATCGAAGTATTACTACTAGTCGGGCCTAGAAGAGGCGTTTTACATCCTTAAACTAGAGGAGAGGCCGCTGGCTGATGCGGTAGCCTTAGAGTGTACGTCTGTTCACCCGGATGATTTACAGGTGCTGACAGGGGGAATAATGGTAGATATCTGGCCACCAGAGCTGGAGGATCCGGCTCGAACATCTTCAGAAGGTGATCTCTGGCGCTATTCTAGGTGAACCCATATCGATCACATCTGCTAATCTCTCGAACAGACTTCAGACATTCAAAGATCGCCACCTAATCCCCGCCTGATCTGGCAGGCTACACCATAGTAGACTAACCGCCGCAAAATGACCCCGTAGGCATGATCCGCACCATTAATGATCTACTTATTCTCACCCAGGAGCCCGCCTCCGCTCCCCTCGAGAAAGAAGCGCTCGCTAACCTTCAAGTACTTACCCAGTTCCGCGAGCAGCTACGACAGCGGCTCGAAGAGGTGCCAGAGAGGCTCGGCTCCTCCCAGATCTCCAGTCATATGCTGCGCGTGGCATACGAGATGCCGTCACCTCAACTAGGTGGTGTTTAGAAACCTGCCGCCTCGCGTGATCGCGGCCGCTATTACATCGGATGAACTTTAAGGTGCGTCTGCGCTCAGCCTCTGCGTCAATCTATTCTAGCTGGTGGGAGATGAGGAAGATGGAGAATCAGACCTTAGTGATCTCGCCGCGGCCCTGGCACAGTCCACGGCCCTCTAACAGCTCTGCTTCTTATAGCAGCCGGACCGGAACAGCGACGATGCCTCCGCTTATCTCTGCTCACAGCTGCTGCGACTGTGGCCGAGGGCATCAGGAGAAGACTTAGAGTCGCTCCGGCTGAGAACCATCCATTCGACCTCCGCTTTGTTAAACGGTTTACGCGGCCACGAATTTCGAGCAATATCTTCGACGACGAATTTAGGTTCTAGTTTCACCTCGGGCGCTCAAGTCTTTCCCATGATCCATCTGTTCACATTTATCAGCCCCTAGCGCGAAGATGTCCGGGACGCAGCTACAGACCACCACGTCGTCCACCCTGCTCGTCCCGGGTACAGCGGCTACTACTCCATGGATAATACTGGGTTAAACGCCGAGAGCTTCGCTGTCCGATTCCTGGTATACCTCCGGTCCTTAGGTCCGGATTCGGATCCCAACAAAGCCATCTTGCGAGTTACATATCATGGGGCGTTCTCGTCACTCGCTTCCATCGACGAGGACGATAAGGACGACAATAACGACGACGACGACGACGACCCCCGTCGCCGCCCCGGGGGCCACCGCCGCTCCAGTCATGGCCAGATCAATTAGGTGTCAGGCCAATCCCCGTTGGATTTATCGATGACGAGCTAGCCCCCGACGACCCGTCCCGAGTCCGACTCAGGGAGATCCCCCCGGGGAGCTGGGTGGTTCTCATGGATCGACGAGACCGCCGTGGCCGATTCAGTGACGACGGCGCCTTCTTACAATACTCTTTTATCAGAATCCGTCGACCCTCTCCAGAGACTGCCTCGAAGCAACAACAACAAGAACAACAAAGTCCGGCCCCCGTCTCTAGTTCAGTCGAGGTGGTCGGCGGGCTGACCGACTTCCTGCGCGAAACCGTGCCAGAGACTCATATTGCCACGTGGGAGAAACGGCTCGAGGAGGTAGAGAGGGATTTGGTTTCAGCTTTGACTAGGCTGAGCCCACTCAGTACCCCGTCATCGATGGAATTCTCACCGGGGGTGAACCCGATTGACGAGGTGTTAAGGCGCTTGACATCAGCTGCAACTGAGAGGAGCGCAGACAACGCCCCGCCAGAGACTGATCTTTCCACTGGGGAGGGACTGGTCGTGAAGGTAGAGAGGGAACGCTGCATCGGTGTCCGCGTCATGGCTGAGAGCCGGGTCCACACTTTACTGGACCAGTTACTATGATTTTACCCCTATCTCTAGGCTATCATTGAGGCCGATATACCCGTAAAAATCACTCTCTTTAGGCTATAGGTCCCTCAAGATCCCGTCACAACTACCCTCTCGCGCTTACCGCTCAAAGACCCGCCTCCTTCAGTCTAGCTCCGAAAGGTTACTCGTTTCAATGGCTAAAGACCTTCTCCCTAAAGAATCCTCCTTGAAAGTTCAAGACTACTTGCTGAACTAGATAGATGAGATGATTATTCCTGATCGTCTCTCAGACCACTCCTTCTTATTGATAATTAAAGTTAATAAAGATGAGGAACTTTTGACGAAGACTCGCTGTAAGACATGTTATGAACTATTGGGGGGACTGTGAGCTAGTAGAATATATATATATCACTAGGGTAAAAGAACAACGGGATATATAATAAGAAGGCCTTGACTGACTATGCTATCTTCCATTCCTTCAGCATCTAACCTGTACATGATTTTCCCTGCAAATCCAGCCATATATGACACAATATATATAGCCTTACATAATGTATATATCTAGTTAACTAATTATCTTCATTTTCTCCGACCCACGAATCTATGCCTCACAATCGGGAACAGATAAACTCTCATACAACAAAAGCCCCGTAATGAACGACAGGTCACAGTACCCTGAGCACGGGTTATCCTCGTCCTGGGGCTCCAGCTTGCGCGGGGTGTAATTGCTTAGTTATTATATTTTGCTAGGTTAGAGAGTTGCATACCACCAAAAATACCATGTTGATTCATCCAGATTTCTGTCATTACCCACTGGACACTGAGTATCACTGAGTAATCAGAGAGCATCAGCACTAAGTATCAGTCACCCGGCACGTGACTGATCTGAGCATGATGATCTGAGCCCGTGCTGACATCTACTCAGTGAGCCTTCATAAAAGCGGCGGCAGCTTAAATAGGAAAGCCCCAGGGAAAATCCGGTACGTATAGGGTGCATATATACCGTCAGCCCAGGCACTCCACACGCCACACAAGTAACCCATCCAATCGCACCACGCAAACCCCATCATGGCCGAATCTACTATCCCGACCCCGTTACCTCTAATGGACTCAACGCCCGATGATACAGGCAAAGTCGAACCCGCGAACCTCCATCTCCCCCGCATCTCAATCCAGTTCTGCACACAGTGCCGGTGGATGCTCCGGGCCGCATACGTATGTGTCTTTCTTTCTTCCTATTTTGACCTATCATGTTAGAGATGTGATTGGTTTCTTGGTGATATCTATATGTATCAAACTCGGTATCAACTCACTGTCATTGTCAACATGACCATGACCATAACCATGAATATAATACATATATAAACCTCACCATATAAACACCATACTAACACAATCACAGTTTGCCCAAGAGCTCCTCTCAACATTCAACACAGATATCGGCGAAGTCGCCCTCGTCCCGAAAACCGGCGGCGTGTTCACAGTAACGATATGCCATGGTACGCTGAATAGCGAAGGGGAGGTCACGACGCAGGATATTATCTTGTGGGATCGGAAGCGTGATGGGGGATTCCCTGGTATGTTTTCCTCTTTCCTTCTATCCTTTCCTGTTTAATTGCTGTTCTATGCATGGCAAAGGAAACCTATATAGTCAAGCTATTTTATCTAACCATTCCTTCCTTTCCTCAGAAGTCAAAGCTCTCAAGTCACTTGTGCGAAATGTTATTGCTCCTGAGAGAGATTTGGGACATACGGACCGGGCGTTGAAGAAGCAGCAAGGGGAGCAGGAGAAGAAAGAGGAGGGGGGTAAGGATAAGGCGGGTTGTGAGGATTGTCAGTAGTAGGTATTGGGTGGTGGTTTTACTTGGTATCTACAAGTATGTATACTAGATCACCTGCTTAATGTAGAAAATTCATTTTTAGACCATGCTGGTATAAATGCTAGAATTACACATATTACTTGGAAAATACACCTGTTACAAGCCTTGAGAACAAGAATTCAAAACCTCACTGTACACATCACATTCATTATCACGCAGAGCGGAAAGAGTCTAACAAAAGAGTCCATGTAAAGAAAAGAGAGAGAAAAAGACAAGACAAGGATCCAGAACAGGGAGAAAGAGAAAGGACTATCCAAGGTTGTAAAGATCTCGAATATGGAGCCAAAGAAAGCCCGCACCTGTAAGAGATAAAACGCCGTTGGAACTCTAGAACAAAGACAGAAGACCGCCCCAAAAGATCAAACAAGGGCAGAAAAAAAAAAAAAAAAAAAAGAAAAGAGAGATGAATGAAGGTGCAAGGATAAGGATAAAAGAAAACAGATATTCGTGGTCATGACACAGAAGTAGGAGGGTGAGCCCGATGCAAATAATCAGATGAATAGATGTAGCGGGACACCGATGCCAGTATCCATTGAGGAATACATGATAGAGCGTGACTCTCAGCCTCAAATGGAAGAGAGAGGATAGGCATCTTGTCTTGAAGCTGGAATTGCTCAGACAAACTTTGCATTTGCTTTCATGTCCGAGACAAAACTCAGATGTCTAGCAGAAGGTAAGAAGGTATCGTTATTCGACTTCGTAGAGTCGTGACCAGGAGAGCCAATGTGGGAAAAGAAAATTCAAAGTCCGGCTTCTTCGACTGGCCGAGTCGTCAATTCATGGAACACCAGCGTGGTTTTCAAGCCTCATTGCAAAATGAAATGTTCATAAGACCATGGCAGCATTATACACAGCTAGTGATGGCTCAAACCCAAAAGCACCAACCAGGATGGCAGGGATCAGGTTTCGCCACGGACCTCGTGCGAATGGTTGCGACGCTTCCAAAAAGCAAGTCGAAGCCGACTCCTCCGCTTAGGAAGTCTACGGGGAGCAGCAGAGTCATCCGCTTGTGGGGTTTCATTTTTGATGCTCTCGCCGGTAGTCGTCGACTGGGTTGGACTGCGGGTTCCGTAGGCTCCCAGCCTGGAGAAGTCTTTGTTGGCACCATCTTCGGACCGAGTTTGACCTCGGCCGAGGATAGAGCTACGACCAGGGCTGTAACTGCCTGCGGGCTCTGAGACACCTGAAGGGAACGCGTCCGCTGTGCTGGGACGTGTGCTATTGTCGTCAGGTCCTCCAAGATCACTTTGCGCAGCACTTTCCCCGGAGACTCGCTTTTCGTCGCCGCTATCCACAGCCAAAAAGCTCGAAGCATTGGTGGCGGGAGAGATCGGTGTCATGGCGTTGCTGTAGGTGCTTTGCGTCCGTGTGCAACTATTGCGATTAGAACCCGTGCGAGCAGATGAGCTGTTGTGCGCATGATGGCGTTGGGAGCCCCGTTGAGAGCCCTGTGGACAGCCTTGGCGCGAGCTGCTTGGTCTCTCAACAGGCCCCGAAGAATGGTCAGGCCCCGCTGCTCCTGATGAAGGACTACCACCGAAGGCTGCGTTTGCATACAAGACGGCGGCTAGAACAGCCGGATCCTCAGTACTAGGGTTTGCTTCTGTGAGGGGGCTATGTAGCTGTGTCGAAATAGACCCACGGGCAGACTCTGGGATTCCTGGAATGGAGAAACAAGAAAGCTCCGGCACAGCACTAGAAGACTTCCGAGATGACATTTCAGCCGCCGGCAGAAGGGGACTTCCTGTGATCTCAATCTGAGGACCTGTGGTGTCTGGCGACACGACAGGTTGAATGGTGTTTTCGTTGTATGCATTAGAGTCTGAACTCGCGGGAGATGTGACTTCATCGGTTGTGTCATCTCCTGGGGCGGGGAGCAGCTTTTCAGTAACTGCAGGGCTATGGGAGCGAGGCGAAACAGTGATCTCGGGCCGTTTCTCGATCGGCAGACCTTTCTTCTTCAGGTCCTCATTAGCAAGTTCTTGCCACTGTGCCTGATTGCGACGAATATGGTCTGTGGTGAATTGCAACTGCGGTAGAAGGTCGGAAATGCCTTCAAATAGCGGCAGGGCGAATATTGACATGAATCCAATTTGACCGGTAGCCAGTTTGTAGATGTTCCCTAATTCGGGTGGCCCACCGAACAGCGCAGTTTCCATTCCAACCTCCCTTTCCATCTCGCCCTGGTTGGCGAATTCCTCTTGCAGAATTTGCGTCCACTTCTTTGCAACTTTCCACGGTCGAGCCACGTTACTGATATCGGCACATTTGATCAACAATCCACAAACGAGGGTCTTGTACATGTCGACATCTTGTGGCTTCCAGCCATCAACAGATCGGTCGTTTTCGGAAAACTTTTCTTGGAATGAGCCCATTCGCTGCATGAACTTCTGGTGCACACCCATGTCTGTAGCCAGGATAGAGCTGATAAGGAGCTTTCGCAGCTGATTGTCCTTGAATGCCGCAGGCCAGTGACGACGCAAAATCTGGGAGAAGGCGGCGCAGTGGAACGCCTCCAAGACGGAATTGTCGTTGTAGAGTTGAGCAAGAGGTGCGTTGAGTTTGACGAGGAAAAAATTGTTGACACCTGGGTGGCCAACATCGTGGCCAATGGCTGAAATAAGAAGGGTGAGGGTGTCGAATGGCGTGAGAAGGGAGGTAATGGGAGTTTCGAAGACAGAAACTTGACTAATAGGTGCATATGGAGGCAAGGCACCAATGTGTAGCAGGAAACAAAATACGGATTGCAGCACATCAATCGCGTGCCGGAAATTGTGGTAAAGCACAAAGGAGTTATAGGCGGCGCGGCAGGCGAGAAGGAAAGTTTGCAACTCATCGGAGGTCAACCGCCAAGTATCCAGTCCCGGCATGGCGAAAGCATGCTGTATCATCTCGCAAGCACCAAAGACCAGTTCGTCCTCGGTAAACTCGTGAGCGCAGAAATTCCAACTGCCTACCTGCTGTTTGATAAAAGGGATACGCGTAGGGTCAACATTGAGATCCTGCTCCTGGAATTCATCATATATGACTTCTTCTGGGTTGCAAATTCCTTTCATGAGCTTTGAAACCATGGCTTCTCTTAGATAAGAATACGGCTGCTCATCATGCACACCAACCCAAGAAAGCTTTCGTTGCTTTCTCCGTGCGAGAAATCGGGTCATCTCTCTCTGGGCTGCTTTACGGGTACGGTAGGCATGAACCACGAGCGCTTGAATCCGCGACCGATCTAGCGGAGTGGTCAAGACATCCACGGCACCGGCATCAAGACAGCGGGCGATCTGCTTATGCTCCATCGTGATAGGTCCTTGGGAAGGTTGACTGGTAGGGCTGGTAACCGCATTGTCGCTGGGTGCATCGGGAGTAGGTAGACGCAAGATAGCAATAGGGATGACCAAATTCGGCCCTTCTTGGGCTTGAATATCGTTTGAGATACCTGATATAAGTGAGAGGCCCCGTGCTTCTTCGGACTGGGTCGAGAATGTGAAGGTGCGGTGGATGGAGCCCGGCGATGGAGGAGCGTTATCTGACCACGAGGCGCGACTGGCTTTTCGGCGGGCCAAATTCGACTCTTCGCCGCTGAAGTCCACCTCGAGAAAGGCAAAAATTGGGTTACACTCGCTGCCCGACCGGTCGCTGAGCTCGGCTAGCTTAGTGGCAAAGGAGGAACCGTTGTGGCAGAGGTAAACTGCAAAAACGGGAGTTAGTCAATGATCAAACGCAGCACAGTCTGCAGAGCCTACCTTGGTTGCACACTCCTAACAGCTGCTCCACATCCGCCTGCAGGGCCTCCGGTTCTTCGGGGGCTGTGAAAGAACCCTCGGACGATATCGTTAATTCATCGATCGAATTTCTGCGCACCCATCTCTCCGACCGCACTCGGTCATCGATGTAGAGACCCGCGCAATCCACGCGGTCAAACATGGCGTTAGAAGGTTGAGAACGACCCCGATCAGGCTGTGTCGCCGGAATCACAGGAACCGACAAGAATTCAATCGGAACGAAGAAAAGAAAAAGGATTCGGTCGGATCAGTCCTGGCTCGCATATGGCTTAAATGGCGAAGACCGAGGCGTTCGGCTGGAGGGGGTGACGGAAGGTCCGAGGAACAAGAGCGGTTTTTTGAGAGGGAAGGGAGAGAAAAACGAGCGGCGAGGATGGGGGAGTATGGAAGACCGGGAGAGGTCCGACTTTAATCGGCACAAAGAAAGTCGGGAAAAGGAGTGGCAGTCGGCAAGCAAGCTCTCAGTTCACCGAATCGAACAATGGAGTTGTTTCCTGCAGCGAAGCAGTCCGAGTCGCGTTATGGGCTGGAGGTTCCGAGACACCCCCAGAGCCTAGACTTGTCGCACTAGATAGCGCAACCCACTTTTTCCCACCCCAGAGTCGGATTCGGAATAGCGATGGGATGAAAGAGTCGAGGATGAAGGGGTTTCCAATTGCCGTGAAGAAAAGGGAGGAAACGTCAGTTTGACATGACCGTGGAATGTGTGTTAGCGTGTAGCGGTGAGAACAAAGAAAAGGAAGAAGAGAAGAGAGAGAAAGTGTAGAAGAGATCGAGAGAGTAAAAACAGCCAAAGCTGAGGAGGGGCGAACACGGGGAAGGGGCTTCTTTCCTCCTTCCAGAAGGCCTTGGGGCGGGACGGGATGATCCTCAAGTAATCTTATGTACGTCCACGTATTCTGCTTATTCAAGGTATAGATGTTGGTATCTAATTTGCTATGCTTTTTAGGCAGTTAAAATACATAAGCCCATATACTATATCATCCAGTCTTTTTCTCTCTTCCCTCTCTGACAGAGCCTCTGTAACCAGTGGACCCAATGACGCCTTTCTTTTTTTTTTTCTAGAAGGGTTAGTAAGCGCAGATTCTGTAACACCCAGGTGTAGTCCACCTGGGCATGGGGCGATGCAGTCTACATACAGTATTAGATGTATGTAGAGGTTATATACATTTTATTCATGTATTAGCCAAGTATTTTATACCTATTACCATTACATATAAAAAATACTTGCAGAATCGAAGAAAAAAAGTAAAGTGGATTGGACGTTTGGGCCCATTCGGGGCCAAAATGGGCCAAATCTAACGGAAAGCCAAATAATCTGAGGTGATCTCACATTGACTCTTCTCCACTTGGATCTGCAATTATTACTGTACAATGCTGTATACAATTTAAATCTACAATGCGGAAAGTTTCAGATAGTTTGAGCGTGATCTCGAATAATATAGATCAATGCCAATTTTTTTTTAAGAAAAAAAAAACACCCCCGTATCATATTGAAAGTCATATGGCCGGTCGCTTTAAGACTAATTTAAAAAAAGAGTTTTATAAAAAGAATTGACGACGGCTGCATGGTTCGAACATGCGCCTCCGAAGAGAATTGATATCGTACATAGGTAGTTCAAGTCAATCGCCTTAGACCACTCGGCCAAACCGCCGTGTTGAAAGAATTCGAAATGTTAAGAATCTAACACTGATGATAGCATACATAATGTTCTCTTCATCCAGAATCTTAGTTAGGTCATACATGTATTGTACTTCCAATGCGAAATGTAAAATATACATGTATATGACAGGCATAGATGGCTGGCTTATGCTCGCCTAATTTCGTCCAGGGTTTGCTGATCGCCTATTGGGAGGAACCCCCGACCAATCACCGACACCAGGGATAGAGGTAGTATTTTCACACTTTCACAAGGTCTAGTTGCGTATACCAAGTCACTTGGCATGCAGGTCAAGTCGGTATTCTGCAACTGGGGCGTTTTCTACTTTGTCGATCTCTTGGCTTTGATTGTCAGATTATATACATAAAACATACATAAAACATATACTATCTGCATATCTACATGTACATATTTTTATATGTATCTCGTGTATATCAAGTCCCTACTCAAAGACACAAATAATCTTCCCCTTCGTAGTGTTACTCTCAAGCAACTTGTGCGCCTCCTCAATCTCCTCAAAGGAAAATACCTTCTCAACAAAAACCTTGAAAGTCCCATCACAGAACCGCGGCAATGCATGCTCAACAAGCGTATCCCGCAATTTCCGCTGGTACTCGAGATCTCGACTGCGCAGCGTACTCCCCTCAATCCGCACACGCTTATACAGCAACGGCGCAATATTGACACCATCAGGCAACTTGCCGCCGCCCATAAGGCCTAGCAAGACGATACGGCTGTCGCGCGCCGCAACGTCCAGATTACCCTGGAAATATGTTGCGCCGATGAAGTCGACGGTTAGATCGACGCCTGCGCCAGATGTCGCGACCTGGATCTCCTTTGCCCAGTCTTGAGTCTTGTAATTGAAGGCCTTTGTCACGCCGAGTTCCTTTTCCAGGAAATCGATTTTCTCTTGCGAGCCGGCTGTTGCGTAGATGGCCTTTGCGCCGGCGTCTTTGGCGAGTTGGATGCCTGAGATTGAGACTGAGGATGCGCCTGCGTGCCAGAGGACGCTTTGGCCGGATCGGAATTCGCCGATTAGGAATAGAGCCTGTGAGGCTGTAATCCAGGTCTGTGGATGGTGGCTAGCGGTTAGTGATGGTTCATTCCGTGAGAGAAGATACATGATTGATTGCATCTGCGTACCTCTGGTACTCCGGCTGCCTCTTCCCATGATAGCTGATTAGGCTTGTGGACCAGCATATGAGTCGAGACGCAGATGTACTCTGCGTAGGCGCCGCCGTATGCAAGACCGAGCACTTCATCTCCGATCTTGAAGTCTTCGTGTCCGTCTGGTCCGAAGCTCTCGATCACTCCCGAGAACTCGACGCCCATGGTTGGGGGTGCTTGGGGTGGGAGGGGGTATAGGCCTTCGCGCTGGAGTAGGTCCATGCGATTCAGGCCGAAGGCCCGGATCTTGATGATGGCTTGGCCTTCTGTGGCGGTTGGCTTGGCGATCTGGTCGATGAAGAGGCTTGTTGCGGGGCCTTTGCCGCCCTTGATGCCTGGGGGTTTGTTAGTTTTGGAGTTGACATTGTATAGAGTATTTGGAGTATGGAGTTAGAGGAAATAGGGCAAGGAGGGCAGTGAAAGGAGCCCTGGAGGGCAGGTGGGTTGATATTGGTCCATGTATGATCCTCAATGCTTCCAGTGGTGAGTGGTGTAGATAATATCAGGTGGGGGGATGGTCTTCAACCCCACGTTCACTTACCGATAGCTCGCATGGTGTCACTCATCTTGAATATTTACAGTGTTCAATGGTTGTTTTGTATTCAAATATTTGCAGAATGTACTTTTCTTTATATCCCTAGAAGCTATCATCCAGTTATGTCGAGCTGACCTCATCTGCCTAGGTACCGCCCGGGCCCGCGGCACCTGGGCAGCTTGATCGGCATTTGTCAGCATCACCAGCTTCCGCGATCCACATACGTTCGTTGAGACAGGGTTTATAATCCATGTCCATGCCGGATAACCGAGTAGATATGTAGAAGAATTAGAAAGAAGACGTAGTTGTAGCAATGGTAATCAATTCATCTAGCTGGAAATAATGGGTAATGGGTAATATCAATCGTAAAATGGCCAGTCCTACTCCATGCAATCCATGATTTTCGACCATATCAAGCCCCCCAACCGCTCCATAGCAGACTCCACGGACTTTTCCCAGGTGCCGTAATTCAAGACGCCAGCAAAAAAAAAACAAGGACATAAGAAACCCCCCCCCCTAGTGCGAAAGATGGTGACCGACAGGTGGATCTACCGGCTAGAAAGGCTCGGGATATCTGTGGCTGGAAGGGGAAAGAAAAAGAAAAGAAAGAGAAAAGCACGAGAAAGAAGACCCAACCGCAGACACACTTTTTGTTCATGGGATGCCGGGGCATGCATATGCAGTAGCAGTAAAAGCAAACAGGAAAGGACATAGGTCACTATCATACAACTCGATTATGAGCACGTGTGGGGATATCGTTATGAGAGAAGGTTCTTCAGCGATGGGCTTGCGCTCGCTCCGGTCCCGGCCGCTGTGCCATTGACTCCGGAGTGTCGACTGCTTGGTGGTCCGCCCATCAGGGAAGGTGGTGTATCTTCCGGTCGAGTGGGAGGGGTGGCAGTGGCCCCCCGTGGGTTAACACGTGCCTGCGTCACCGGTGGTGAGTGAGAGGGAGCTCCTATCACACGCTCGACAGAGTACATGCGAGGAGGTGGGCCCCCATTGAGTGCACTCAATGAGTTCTGGGGTGACCGGTTGATTGTCGTCGCTTGCACGATTGGAGGGGATGCGGACGCTGCATATGATCGCGGCGGTGGCTGCGAAAGATGCGGCGAGCGGGCGGGCACAGGGCCATACGGGCTCTGGTGGGTAGAATACGGTGGCGGCGGTCCCGACGGCCCAGCGCTGGTATAGTGTTGAGGCGGCGGTGGTCCTGCGGGATGAGGTGGCGGATAGTTATTCATGTGATGAGGAGGTGGCTGTGCTTGGGGATAAGTAGATGGCGACATGCCGTTGCGAAGACTGACGTCGGGCGTGAGGTGTTGCTCGTATGGCCCAGTGTACCCTGGCCCGGGGTGTCCGCTGGGTGGGTGAGCAGGAGCCATCGGTCGCCCAAGCACACCACTAGGGGGAGGAGGATGCGGGTGTTGGTGTGGATGTGGGTGGGGCAAAAATGTATGGCCTGCATGACCGGGGATTCGTGAAGTGGGTATCATGGGACGTTGAGCAGAGTAAGGCGAAGGCCGTTGGTCAGGCGTAGGCTCTGGCACAGGCGGCGGAGGAGGAGGCGCGGGGTTCTTCAAGTGGCATTTATGACATTCATACACCAGTTCGCAAGGATCGCCATTGTGTTGAGGGAAGCCACCTTGAGGCGCATGGTGAGGGTGTCCTGAGCCATTGGCCATGGGAGGTCGTCGCCCAATAGCCCACCACCTGGGACTGAAGCCGGTGGCACAACGGACACATTTGCGGTTAGTCTCCACACCAGCAGCAGCCGGT